CGGTTTGAATACTGGAATGGATCTGAATTTGTTTCAAACCTTTACTTGAGATATTTTTTCGTGAAATAGAGAAAATGGGCTACTCGGAGCTGGTGGAGGGGGGTCAGGGTGGCATTAAGCAGCACTGGAAGGGCAAATGCGTCCACCAGCATATGCGCTTAAAGAAGCCTTGAACACGTAATTAATTAACTTGCGTGGACTGGCGGTGTGGTTGTCAAACAGAGCAATAACATGAAGTATCTCAAACTCATAAACCGCCGCTATAGATTTTGAAATTTGAACCAGACTGAGGATTCGTATTTACAAAAATTGTTGGTATTTGGATGAAAAAATGCACAAGATAATGCAAAACATAAAAATAATTCAACCAAAAGATTCTAAAATAATATTCTAATAAAAAAGACCCTCTTGAGTAAAACTAAAGGTTGCAGATGAAAGTGGAGATTATAGTTTGATGTGAATAGGATTTATTTGAATAAATGCTTAGTAAAATACTTTACAACAAGGTATCGTCAAAACCCAAAGACCAACAACTCAGAACCACAAGCTCACGTCAACATGACGCGAGTAACCGTATCAAGCAAGCGTGATACCACATTTAAATATTAGTCTAACAGTCATACTACATCATCCCCCTCTACAGAAAAGGCAGAGGTTTTATTAGTTATCATATAAATAATAGAAATGTCAATAAGTGTCGAAAAATCAATCCCCGAGAACATAGTCACGCATCCATGTTGGCTGTTGTCGATTACGCCTCGGTTTGTTTGTCATTAGCGGTTGAGTTGTAACTGGATCAACGTTACTGGGGTTTCCTCCGGCTGCCCGCTGCTGCTTCTCAGTGTCTCTGTTCCGGATTGAGTGGAGAGGAATGGTTGACTGCTTGATTCCCACAACCAATCATCATCGTCCTCGTCATAAGTGGCATGCTGCTGGAACGTCTTTACAGTCTTTTTGTTCTGTGCTGGATTGCTCGCCCCTCTGACTGACCGGTTGGTCCAACGTTTTCTCCGAGCGCTCGGGATTCTGCGAATGTCTACATCTCTTTATGTTGTTGAAATGCACAACCACCTGTTTGCGGCTACCTAACTTCTTTAAGCGGTACACCACATGAGTTATTTTCTTTACGATCATATATGGACCCTCCCATGATGCTGACAGTTTCTTCGATTGTCCTTTTTTGACAAAGTGCACCATTCGCCAAACTCGATCACCAACTTTGTAGGGTGTTCCTTGTACTCTTGCATCATAGTAGTCCTTATACCTTCGAGTAGATCTCTTTGTTTTCTCACGTGCCAACTCGTGTGCCGCTTGGAATCGACCTTTCAATTCTTTAACATACTCGGAAGCACTCTGTGCTGGTTGGGTTGGAATATCTCCAGGTACTAGGATATCTACAGGCAAGCGAGCTTCTCTGCCGAACATCATGCGAAATGGTGTGACGCCAGTTGATGATTGTACACTTGTTCGGTATGCCATAAGCACTTGTGGAATCAAAATGTCCCAGTCTTGTTGGTTGTCATCCACACACTTAGATAGCATATTCTTCAATGTGCGGTTAAATCGCTCCACCAACCCGTCGCTTTCTGGGTGATATGGAGTGGTTCGAGTTTTGTGGATGCCCAGCATGTTGACCACCTCTTGGAAGACGTTGCTTTCAAAGTCCCGACCCTGGTCGGAGTGTAGCGTTTGTATTACCCCGTACCGCGTTATCCACTCGTCCACCAGTTTTCTTGCCACAGTTGGTGCCTTGTGATCAGAGATCGGGTAAGCCTCTGCCCACCTGGTGAAGTAATCTGAGATGACCAGTATAAATCGGTTTCCTCTAGCTGTTGTGGGTAACGGACCGACAATGTCAAGGGCAACTCGTTCCATGGGGTATCCGGTTGAACTGGTTACCAGCGGTGCTCTTCCTTTCTTTTGCGGTGGGTGGTGTTTCTCGCATTTCTCACAGTTGCGACAATGTTCCTCTACATCCGTTTCCCAGCCTTTCCAATAGTAGCGCGCTTTCACTTTCTGAGTCATCTTGTTAATTCCTAGATGACCAGAGGTTGGAATGTCATGTAATGTGCTGAGTACAACTGGGATTAGTTTTCTCGGGAGGCATATCTGCAGAAAGATGGACTTTCCATCCTCGGATTCGTACTCGCGACAAAGGACACCGTCATCCCGCATCTTGAGTCTACCAAACTGACTCCACAGCGATGATACCAAGGGGCCCAGCCCAAGGGGTCTCGCTTCGCGGCGACGTTTGCCTTCTATAACCCACAAGATCGCTTGGCTGATATAAGGGTCCTCGTCCTGGTACCGTGCCATCTCCCGACCACTCGTGACCACAGCTGGAGGTGAAACAGTTGACACATGCCTCTCGTTCTCTTCCGGCGCACTCTCATTCCTGTTACAGGGTATTCGCGACATGCCGTCAGCGTTTCCATGCATGACTCCCGATCGGTGTACCACGGTAAACTCGAATTCAGCTAGCCTCTCCAACCACCGAGCCATCTGGCCCTTGGGGTTTTTGAAACTTCGTAGCCATTTCAACGCACTGTGGCCAGTACGGACAGTGAAGTGCTGTCCCCACAGGTATGCTTCAAAATGTTCCATCCCCCACACCATCGCTAGCAGTTCTTTACGTGTCGTGCTGTAATTTCTCTCAGCTTTGGACAAAGACTTCGCGGCGAACACAATGACTCTCTCTTTTCCCTGCTGTACATGCGACAACACGGCACCAAGTCCTTCATTACTCGCGTCGGTGTCTAAGATGAATGGGGTCTCGAATTCAGGATACGCCAGCACTGGTGCAGTTGTTAGCTTATTCTTCAAAACCTGGAACGCGTTTTCACACTCTCGACTCTATCGGTAGGCTGTCCCTTTCTGCTCCAGCTTGTATAGAGGAGATGCTATGTCCGCGAACTTTGGTATGAATTGTCGGTAGTAGCCGGCACAGCCCAGGAAGGAGCGGAGACTCGTTAAATCACCAGGACTAGGCCATTCTCGCAACGCTCTTATCTTCTCTGGATCGGTAGAAATCCCCTTCCGGCTCACAACGTGTCCTAAGACCACCGTTTCTTCTTTCAACAGCTGACACTTCCGAGCATTTAACTTTAGACCAGCCTTCCCCAGGCGACTCAGCACCGCGTTCAACCGTTCATAATGTTCATCGAGGTTACGTGCGAAGATAATTATGTCGTCCAGGTACACGAGGCAGTCTAGCCAGTTAAGTCCGCCCAAGATGGTGTTCATGGTGCGCTGGAGGGTAGCTGGAGCATTGGTTAGGCCAAACGGCATCCGTTTAAATTGGAAGTGTCCGTTGGGCGTCGAGAATGCCGTCTTCTCTTTGTCATTTTCATCCACGCTAACCTGCCAGTATCCTTTGACTAGATCAAGGTGGGTAAAGTAAGCAGCTCCCGACATGGTATGGAGGATGTCTTCGCACCTTGGTAGGGGGTACACGTCCTTCTTTGTTACTTCGTTTAGTTTTCGATAATCCACATAAAACCTCTTCGACCCGTCCTTTTTCGACACCAGGATGACCGGAGCGCACCACGTAGAGGTCGACGGCTCGATGACGTCATTCGATAGCATCACTTCCACTTCTGGTTGGACCTCTTGACGCTGTTTAAAAGGAATTCTTCGAGGCGGTACTCGGACTGGCGCAGCATCACCTGTTGGGATACGGTGTTCGACAACCGATACTTCGCCAAGGTCATGGGATCCTTTCGCCAATACCATGTTATGACGTACAAGCAGGTCATAGATGCGGTTCTTCTCGTGGCTCGGCACAGCTGGGTTATCAATAGGGAATAGCTCGGCCATATCTCTTCGCATCTTACTAATATTCTCTCTCTGCGCAGTCATGCAATAGGAGTGCGTTGTCTTGTCAGGCGGGTCCATTGTTTTGGCGCACTCGTACCATGGAGATTCAGTTCTTAATTCCGTAAGGGGAATTAGGTTTCCCATAGTACTACACCGATAGATTCGTCGTGGCTTGGACCTCGAGTTGAAAATTCGTACTGGGATCGTTCCCTTTGTTACGGTCGCAGCTACCTTTATGATTCGTACCGCATAACATTCCTCAAACCGCGATTCTGGTTCCAGTACACCAGTCATTTCCTCCACAGTTGTACCACCGTCTACCCTACACGCGATGTTTATCATCGAGTACGGAGGAATAGTAACTGTCTCTGCCACTCTTACTCGACAAATCTGTTTGTCCTGTTTAGAAATCAGTTCGCTTGTCCCGCCATTGGCCTCGAGCATTCCTTTCGCAAAGTTAATAACGAAATTGTGGGGTTGTAAAAAGTCTGCCCCAATAAGCATGTCTTGTGCTAGATCATCGCACACTTGTATCTCGTGACTTGCGATAACTCCCGTTAGTTTTATCTTAACATCCGCCACAGTATGGACTAGCAGCGGACTGTTGTTCGCTCCCACCACCGGTTGACTTGTAACTTGTTGGTCGTGTTTTGATATCAACGGTTCTCACCCTGTTGAACACGTCCCTGTACATCAGAGTCACAGCGGCTCCGGTGTCTACCAAAGTTGTCACCTGTTTTCCGTTAACTCTGCATTCAGCGTAGATGGCGTTGTTTTTCGTTGCACTGGCAATCTTTCGAGCGGGTGGTGGTGGTGAGCGCGCGGGCGGATTCACTTCTGGTATGAACCTGCCCTGGTCGCGTTTCCCTGGTTCTCGTTACGTGCGACTCTACTTGGACAGTTTCGTTTCTCCTAGCTCTTCGTTCTCGTCTTGGCTGACCGCGTTCACTACTCTCCAACAATTTCTCGATTTTGCTCTGTCGCTCGATCAATTCTCTCGCCCATCTTGGCGCGTTCACGCTGGGGTCATGCGCGCCCGCGATATTCACCTCTGCCGGTTGCGGTTGCTCCCATTGCTCATGCTCATGAGGTATTATTTCAGACAAAATTTGTTCAAAAACCAACAAGACTAACCAAGGCCAGGTTACTGAGTAATATAGAATATCCAATAAGGCGGATAGCAATTCAAGTCAAAAGTTTAAGGTTAAATTTGTTGGAGGAGGTCGATATGATCTCGCGAATTTACCAAAAACAAAGACTGGTAAACGTAGGCGTTCCTTTCGGCGGAATAAAGAGCCTCTGGAGGTTTCTGGTAAGGCTTAAGTATTACCATTTATATACATTTTGTGATCACTTAGATAACTATAAATTATCAACCAGGTTTGTTAGCAAACTTTGTACGAATGAACCCCAATGTTTATAGAGCTAGAGTTGCTATATTTAATATTCGCTTATTGATTCGCCAGGTTTAGACCGAACCGATAAGTTGGTGATTTGGTATCGTATAAACGTTTTTATTCGATCTATAAATTGCAAGACATTACAAATTACAAAGACATAATACAATAATACAATTATATAGTTAAATTTAGCTTACTTTTGTTCCCGAATCCCAACTTTAACAATTATTAACATTCACTGGTTAGCAACTTTCTTTCAGACTCTCTGGTTAGCACTGTTTACAACATAAGTTCTCTTCTCATACAAAACACATGTTTTTTCCCTAATTTCTGCCCTTTTTCAAAAAATGTCAACTATATCAGTTTTTGTTACTTTATGTAAAAACATTATAATGTCTCTGTCAGACATCAAAACACGCATGGAATTTGACATTTTAACTCTGTCGAGTGGTGTATTTACCAGATAAAGGAGAAGAGAGCTTATCATGTGAGGATAGCGTACTTGAATCAACTGAAGTAGACATTGTATAAATATATTGTATAGTAAATATAGCATGAATCGTTATGGTCTATCGTAAACTATTGAATCACCGCAAAGATCTTTTATTACAGACAGACGATGTACTGCCAGCATCAAATCAATATGTTGGTGCTGTTTCAAATGTTGATGCCTATTTTTCTGAAGTCTGTCGAGCAAGTGCTGTGGCTGGTGTTGGACAGACCTTAATGGCATTTGCCATTCAAGATTTCGATAGGGTTAAAGGAACTTTAAAAGTTAAAGTTATTGTTTTAACACTTCTTTTTTACTTATCTGTTAATTAGTTAACAAAGTTTTTTTTTAAGAATCAAAACACTGCTGCATTAATTAACTAGCACTTTCAAATTTTATACCAGATGTTCTATATTATATTTCTTTTATATTATCCTAGGTAGCCCAAAGGTATTTGTGTTTTAATCTAAAGCGTCTATCCAGTTTAATATCGCGGTCTGTGACGTAAACACCAATTGCTATATTTGTATTATAATAAGATTATTATTATCTTATTATAATACAAATATAGCAATTGGTGTTTACGTCACAGACCGCGATATTAAACTGGATAGACGCTTTAGATTAAAACACAAATACCTTTGGGCTACCTAGGATATTATGCATATTTTGGTGATGTATTCCAATTTCCTAACAAATACATTGCCTTAATTGTGAAACAATGAATGTAAATAAAGATGTGAAACCCCCTACAACAATATATGTTTTGTTTGTTTTAGGAGAACTGCTTTCTCTTAGTAGAACGCTCTTTGCATAACTTTGGTGGTTCTGGACTTGGCTGGGTGTATAGATGTTCATGTGACAGCAATCGCTCCAATTATCTTCTATCATTAAATGTATATGTGCAAGGAACAGCTGAAGGTATGTTACTTGTATGCATGTTTACTGTAAGTTGAAACTGTTTATAATGATGTTTGCATACAGTACAGTGCATTACATATTGAATGAAGTATTCCTATGGAAACCTTTTGAATGCAATGTTACCTTTGTTCTGTGTTCATTTGCTGTATCTTAAATAGTAACTGAAATGTAACATTCAGAGCTTAATGAAGAAAATAAGCCATGTGAGCACTGCATGGTAGTAAAACGATTTATTGGAAAAATTGAAGCTGTTGATGGTTCATTGCTGGAAGCTGCTATAGGTATGGTATTCTACTTCTCTCATTTAAAGTGCATACTGTTATTATAAAATTCATGTTCCTTAAATGTACATATAACAACCAGATAAATATTTCTCAGGTAATCAGGATGATGACCATGAATATTTTGTGAGTATCATCAGGGGTAGATCCAGCACTAGGGCACAAATTTGCATTACAAAACAAAGTGGTTATTTTTAGCAGTTTTCTTGTGTCATGCAAATTAGTGCATTAGCGCTGGATCCACCCCTGAGTATCATATTCATTTCATTTTGCTTACCTTCACCACCGATCTCTACATATTAGCTGAATGAAACCTTTATAACCTTTGTTTTTTGGGCCTAGTCTGAATTTCTGTTAAATAGCCATTAAGTCTTTTATTATTAGTAGTGTGTAGGTGTAAATTGAGTTAATTGACTGACCTAAATTTGCTTTTGTGTTGCAATCCTTTTTACAGAATACAGACAGCATTTATGAGTTGCCATGCAGCAGAAATGTTGTCTGTTCTTTTGTTCATGGTAAATATTCGTTTGTTGGATCAGACAAATATGTCTTAAATGTCTGACATGCAAATATGATACTCACAGCTGTGTTCATGTGGTTTTTGTGCAAACTAAACTTGATGAAGATGACGAATCTTTCCCATTCTTACAACATGTTTTTCCTGACCACGAAGTAAGACGCTCTCCTTCTGTCCCCATATGTGCATCAAAGGAAAAAGTAAATTTCGACAATGCTCATAACCATAATTTGATGCAAGAGCACACGTTAAGAACTTTGTTGCCATGTGATGAAAATGGAATATTCCAAATCATGCCGGATGGGTTTGAACAATTGAGTCATTGTCCTTCGTGTTCCCATGCATGGTTCAATGGATCAGGCACAGAAAGCAGTGGATGCTTAGTTTCAAGAAGAAACTTATTTCTTTTCAGTGGAACCTTAGTATGTCATGGTTAGTTAATATTTCTTGTTATATTTGCCTCATGATTAACATGAAGTATGCCACCTGTGTTAGACAAACCCTCAGCCCTTACTTACCTGATTATGGTAACCATTCTGCACCAATTGTTTGCTCACCAGGGACCGATGCATGTTTCGTTTAGAATTACTTATTTTAAAAAAACTGCAAGTTGTTACAGTATTACTCCTTAACGCCAAATTTGAATTCTCAACAGTCCTGGTTTTGCCTAAAAGTTTAACACTATAATTGTTTGGTCTCTCAACCATCCATCTGCAAATAATTCGCAATTGAAATCGAAGGAAGTGCACAATAAAAGTATTCCATTATATTAAGAAATTAATGTATTTTTTATCTTCAAGTCTCTTACAGGCTATGTTCCAATTCCTCATGCCAAGAAAAAAATTTTTTTGATGGAAATAATTTAGGTATTCTAAACATGGACAGATACCTTATCTCCCACGATGTTCTGCGCGATTACATGCATCATTTTTTGTTTGGCAGGTACATGCATCATGGTTTGTTTGGCATTTTGCAAATTCTGTAAATTCTTCGCTTCATTCCCAGTGGTCTTAAATGTTACTGGAAATATTTCGGTGTTATAATAACCTTCTTGATCTTTTCCGCTGTAGGGCAGCGTGTATGTATTTTGTGTAATTTTATAAATTATGTATATGCGTCTTTATTTAGTTGTACCTTACAAACATATTTTCAAGTTTGGACCCGTCGATTGTCTGATGTTGGTACCGCGGAAGAGGAAATGCCATCGTATAAGTTTCGATACGCATGGTATTCATTCCTCAGTTTACTTGATATAGATTTTCAGCAGGGAATACTTGTCAGCAGTGTGGTCCGGAGCCGAATATAATGGTTTGCGATGCCACAACTGTTGCGTTTCGAAAATCCATGTTGTTGAGATGCAACGCAGAAAATACTCGTGCTGAAACATCGGGTGTAATGTCTGGAAGATAAGTACAATACCAATATAATATAAATGTTAGTATTGCGTTCTAGACTGCCTTCTGTCCAAAATTCGTGTGTTATATACTCACCTTTAGCCTCTACAAATGTAGAAGGGGCTTTCAAAGAGTGGCGGAAATTTTTTCAATGCATGTAATGTGGATCCAGATGAAGGATAAACTGTCATTGATTGGTGTTCCTATACTTTATGTCGAATACTGGAATTAATTTCCTTTGAAATATTTTTATCTATTTCTATTTTTATCGTTTTACTAGTCATAAAGAGAGAGTCATGATCAGTTCAAATCCCTGCCGGAAATTAATGACGAAACTTGCAAAGAATGGCAATTTAACAGACCAACAGTTTAGAGAATTAATTCAACTTCTCACAAAAGTGTCCCCTTCTGTCGTACCCTTTATAAACTGGCTCAAAGATACTTACGAACACTTATCCGATTGTCCGCCGCCGATTAAGGCTTTAATTCGTGCTATCACTGCAAGTTCTCCTGTGTGTGGGTTGATTAAACCAACTGAAGAACTTCATTCCCTTTTCAGAGAACTCATTAGCGGAGAAAATGTATTTAGTTGTCCGGCTAAACTGACGCTTGTTCATGAGCAATGCCCGGTTATCTTTGCTGTTCTTCGTGAACTTAGCCCAACAGTTTTACCACGAATGTGGCGTCCGATGTTTGCGGAATTTTTGATGAAGTCAAAAGCGCCATTTGTAAACACCACCGGCACCACGGCTCCGTCTATTTCAGCACCAATAGAGGATTTGGAAACCGACGCCTTGTGTTTCTTCCCAACTTTACCGAAACGTCGAAATCGTAAATTTTACTTGGCTGACGCTGCACGTCGTACAGATGAAATTTGTTCCAAAAAACATCCCGGACATTCTTTTTTTCTTCCAGGCATATTCACACTGTTTTGCCCACATGGTAATATCTTCTTTATACAATAAAATTAAAAAAAACATATTAGAATACAGAGACACTGATACATGCATGCTATACATAATAAATTAATAAATTAAAACACATTTTACTGTATGTATGTATGTGACTATAACAATGGATACATACATATATAGTAAAGTATGTATTTTAAAGTATGTATATGAGTTTTTCCTCTTTTGTAGGTTTTAACTATGGCTACCAAGTCATGCAGAGACGGGAATCTCCAAACGTACCATTTTCCATTTTTCTAACAAGATTTGTAACAGGTTTGTGTTTCGGTTTCGTCATATTTTGCTGTTATTGTATTGTCAAAAACAAATTATTTTCCTTTCAGCACCTCGAGTTATAATATATGACAATGCATGTAATCTGCATAGCTACTGCCTCAACAGAGATCCTGCGTACTTCAAAGACACAACTGTTTTGGTTGACCGGTTTCATTGGGGAAACCATAAAGGTATTGAGTATCGAGTGACTATTTTTTTTCAGAAGAAGTTAAAGGCGTATTAAAACAAGGCCGATATGTTGGCCCAACATTTTTTAGTTCAAACAACATGTCAGGGCAGGTTTCAGTTTCATAAAGTCATAACTAATTTTCTCTTGTAATTACAGTTATGCTTGAAAATTTAGAACCGTACATTCTTTATATATAGGTTGTTCTGGTGGCTATAACCTTAATATATACCCCCAACTGACAGTCATTAATAGTCAAGTGAACGAACAAGCAAATTCAATCATTCAAAGATATCGTGCCCAGTTGTCTTTCATGACCCAAGAAAATTTCATGAATCATTGTCGATTTGTACTGTGGTTTATGAACAAGAAAGCTTCGAAAAGAAATAATGCCTCAGATGCCTAATCCGAACACATTAAACAGAACTTTGTCTCAGAATTGTGAAATTTAAATCTTTCAAGTGTAATGAACTTAGCAGACATTTTGAAACCTTGTTGTTATAAGTGTTTCCCGTTATTAACGTATTTGTAGTACTTTACATTTTTCTAGAAGTTATCTGAGATTTTATTGTTTCCTAAAATTTGTCATTTGCCGTTCCCAAAGTATGAAAACAAACACGTCCTTGCACCGTGAAGTGAAGATATATATAGACACATGTCATTAGTTGGTGAAACGTGTAAATAAGAACAAAAAATTTGTCTGATAATGGGAGAATTATCACCACCTATCGATCGAAACATGCATCATTAACATTCGTAAAGCCGTTCTGGTCACCCAGAACCGGGTTGGTTAAACATGAACAAAATTTGTCTCTATTTAACCAAACTGGATAATGGGAGAATCATCACCACCTATCGATCGAAACATACATCATTAACATTCCTAAAGCCATTCTGGTCACCCAGAACCAATTTGGTTAAACATGAACAAAATTTGTCTGTATTTAACCAAACTGGGTAATGGGAGAATTATCACAACCTATCGATCGAAACATGCATCCTTAACATTCGTAAAGCCGTTCTGTTCACCCAGAACCAATTTGGTTAAACATGAACAAAATTTGTCTCTATTTAACCAAACTGGGTAATGGGAGAATTATCACCACCTATCGATCGAAACATACATCATTAACATTCGTAAAGCCATTCTGGTCACCCAGAACCAATTTGGTTAAACATGAACAAAATTTGTCTCTATTTAACCAAACTGGGTAATGGGAGAATTATCACCACCTATCCATCGAAACATGCATCATTAACATTCGTAAAGCCATTCTGGTCACCCAGAACCAATTTGGTTAAACATGAACAAAATTTGTCTGTATTTAACCAAACTGGGTAATGGGAGAATTATCACCACCTATCGATCGAAACATGCATCATTAACATTCGTAAAGCCGTTCTGGTCACCCAGAACCAATTTGGTTAAACATTATTCGCGAAATGTGAACTATTCGCGAAATGTGAGCCTCTCGAAAAATTTCGACAAGTGAGCGGTCCTTTGTTGACGTGGATAATTAATTCCTTTACGCACGCGAGTTTTGGTGAGCAAGCGAGACATTGAGTCAGCGTTCTTTAATATAGTGAACATATTTATGATGAAGTACCCGCAATTAGCTAGTACAGCTTGAAAGAATTCGTAAGAGATGGTCTTATCCTACACTGAGGAACGTGGTCATCGCCAGCAAATGAAAAGAGTTTTTTTGAGGCGGAAGGTTTTACGATTCCCGGCTAAAAAACAAAACGTTCCTGGTAGTTGATGGAAAGAACGCGAAAGAAATTCGTACTCGCGTGATTAAAGCTATGTGCGCGAGCGGCGATCTTGCAAGCGCGACTGCTAGCGTAGACAGGGCTACTAACACTAAAAACTCAACACTGTTGATCATTCAATCTGATAGTGCAGAAAGCACTGAAAACCTTAGAATTGAAAAATTAATGATGAACAGCGCGATTATTCGCTCGTTGGCTGAATCTGTGGATCGGCTCGCCTCAATAGTGGCTGAAATCCAAACAAAAATATACTGTTGGGATTACAGGATTCATGTGACAGGAGTATAAAGGCTACAGATGATGAACCAATTTTTTCTCAGCTGTTTAATTGGAAAAGCCATAAGAAAATTGTAACTGTTTTCCTGCCTCGTCTCCTTAGCCGTACGGGACAGGGGGGCGGGGGGGTTTGTGTGAAAAATTTCGAGAACTAAAAAGTTCGGGCAAAGTTCAGTCGAAAATTCGGGTAAACTGAAAAAAGGTTAAAAAGCTAAAATTTTTAAAAGTAAATCTTGTAATATATATCACATATATGTACTCTTTTTGACCATTTTAAATAAATTTGTAAGGCTCAATCAGTTGGTCATGCTAGGTTAGTTAGTCAGCAGGTCCTTTCTACGTTTGAAAAAACTATCCAGGTGATAACTTCATCCATTTTACAAACAGCTGGCCCAAGAGCGGCACGTTCATTAGACATGAAAAGATGGGATTTCCACAATATAGACAACATCGATATTTAAAAAGCGCTTGGAGATGTAACGTTTTATTTTGGTGTTTAGATCTTAAAGACACAAAAACAAAAATACGGGGTAGTTTTTAAGTTTATATTGTTGTCTCTCCGTACCATTACACACCTACCAGCGGTAGCGGTACAGTAGCCCATATTATTAGATTAAGAACAGAGGGGAATTAGGACTTGACCGAATCTCTATTCGTGTATTTATCACGATACTTCATTTAACAACGCACTAATTCGGTTGCTCGTGTAAAAAAATACCGTAACTCCCTCTGAAGGTCCTTAAATGTCGGATATGCACAAATATACGGCTTCATCCATTTTGCCAGTTCCGCTTTTGTTCTTTCTTGGCAGAACCTTGGAAAATGAGGACACAATTCAACAAACTCACTTGCCTAAATGGATCTCACCTGACCTGGTTTGGGGGTGCAAGGACTAATCATATAACAGTTTAAATATTGACTGACACAGAGTGCATTCATTATTTAAAAAAATTAGACAGAAAAGTCACGTTTTCACTGAAGACGTCCCTCCCACAAAATATTAAAAGTTTAATTTACCCTAAAGCAGTCTACGGTATGGGTAGCCTTATTTTGCTCAGTAGAAATTCAAGCTGTTTACATGTTTTATAATAAAAATCTTGTTTGCCCCAACAAGTCAAAGTCTGACTACTGGAAACGCATTTTAGATGTGAAGTCCGATGGAAATTCATTGAACAAAATATGGCTACTGTACCCGTAGACCAGAAGTTGGGTATCAGATTAGAACGGATATGCAGGGTAATTTGGCAGGGTTTTCGGTAATTCTCATCCAAAATTTGTTGGACCATGTTAAAGTTGAAGAAACACACCTCTCGTCACAAAAGAGTATAACTCCATAATCTTCTTTATGACATAATGCACGACCGATGGCTTGATTGACAGCTCGAGATGCCTGCTGACCATACCATTGTTGACCATTTAATCCCTGAAAATACAAGATTATGAGTGAAATAGTAACTACATTTGTTCCTGACTCAGAAGAAGTTTATCAAACTATTGTGATAGTGATGGTATAAACAATGATATATGACTTTGAGTTCACAGTCACGAATTGAATTGACAGAGCTTCAGATAAAATTCTCAGCACAAAAGTTTCCCTATTTGAATACGGGCTAAATTGACTTTTGAGTCTGGAATTGCCACATATTCCTGGTTTCGTATAGGATTGTAAAACCACAAAGCAATTTTAATAGTTTATTTCTTAAAAAAAATTATGATTAAAAGTACTTTATAACCAACCTTAAATACTCTTTTGTTTACCACCTCATCTAGGAATTGTTTTTTCAATTCCACCTGAAATGCGAGGGAAAACAAAAAAAAATGTTTTTGAACTTTGGAAAAGATGTCTAGAGATAATAGATTTTTACCATAACTGGGGTAATAATAACTGATTATTGACCGACGGATATGTGTTTCACGACCAACCAATCAGAGTAGAGGATCTTAAAAAGACATATTATTAATAAATTAAACTTGAGTAACCACAAATCCCAACGTATTCCTATTATCGGCTGAACGATGATCAAAAGACTCATTTCCCAATTTATTTTTTCGAATATTAAAAGAGCATTAGCTAGGTTGTTAATCGAAACCCCAACCATTGGATCAAAATCCGGTTGATAAGGTAAACCAGTTGTGACGACAGCACGACCGTTTATATCACTGAAGTCAACACCTTCGCTGAACTAAACGTGAGAAACACACGAGTTTCTTGTAAAACATCTGAGGCTTGTATCAATTCTTTTTACGATCTGCTATCAGGATGTGTTTGACTGGTATGTTTCGATCATAGTTTCACGCCCATAGCTCGTTTCATGTCTAAGCTCTACGAAGTTAATCCTAACTTTTAATTTCCAACCTCACCCTAACTCTTACCCAACTACTTATAACAGAGGGTTAGAATCAAGGATTATATATATTCGTTGACTCTGGACATGAAATTATCACCTGTTTCCACCAAATCTGACAAGATTTCAGCAGATTAACCAAGAGCTTATTACTGTACAAAGTTTTAAACGTAACAAGCGGTCTTAACTGTCGGTGTTTCATGACTTTGGTATTAATACGTTGGAAAAATGCGGTAAACACCATACCTTTCCTAGGCAAACGGCAAGAAACACAGCACCCTTGTTCTCTGGATCGCAGACTTTTTCATAAAATCCTTCCACTGCCTAAAACAGACTATAAATCTTAAGATAAACCTCAATCAGCCCGTTCATTAAGAATTATTTAGTCGAACATAACCTACAGATCAAAATGACCCGTTTTTCGTCGTGGTAAAAACGTACAGATGAACTGTTTAACCATATATTTACTCTTTATAAAGCCTAGTTTTAAGATTTCGCTGCATGGAAATAGAACCAAGCTCTGTAAATTCCCTTCTCCGTCTCGGCTCAACAAAAATAGTTTTCTTGTTTCAAGTCGGTTCCATAGACCAGAACTCTTACAAAACAAAGAATAATCATTGTGAATTAACGTAATGGACTAGGATATGAAACATCGTTCCTATCAGTTTCGTCAACAAACGAGGCGGTGAAATTTCGACTTAAGGCTAAGAAAGAACTAACAAAAGGTCCAGTAAGATTAATCTGTATAAAAATCACATTAGTTTTAGAGACGAAAAGGGAAAATATTTTTAATTCGTCTGTTCATTCGTCCGCGTATCAGAAACTACACCATCGTTAAATCTATAGCTATGCCTGCCAATGTTTCAGTGCTGTATCAAGGGTTCCATAGGACGGGGAAAACACCAGCATCCCATCAGGAACAACCTATGCAAAATTTACTGCAACAAAAAAGAGTTTCATGCAAACTTAAAATATAGAATCACTCATGGCAGAGGTACTCAAATACAACAGTTATATAATCTCCCTGTTAGAAGAGTTAGTTCCGGCCTCTTGAAAGCTTGCATGTGAACAGTCGAGGGGACTGCTTTTTTAGGGCAAAGTTTCTTTGTCCTAAGTGGCGAAAATTCAGACGAGTCAGACAATCCGTCAGTCATTCATAGTGTAAACTTTCCGGGGGTAGTTTGATTTACGCTTATAGTAATTTTTTGTACATGATCAGAAATGCAACGTTTTTAAATCAGTTTAACTTGTTTTATTTATTGATTTATACAGTATTGATTTTAAAATAAGTATATTGCTTTGTATTCACATCATTGACATAATATTCACCGCGGTTTTTTATTTCCATTATTTACAACGCAACTATTTTGGCTATTCTTTGGAAATGACGAATCAGTTGTTGCTATCATATACATGTAGTTCATGTAGTCACAGTTGTTTGACGAAAAGATGAGACATGGTGTTTTTTGCCGAACCCTGTAATACTAAACTGATAAAATAACGCCCGCTTTGCTTGAGCAACTAAATTTATAATCTAGTATTACAATATCGGGGCTAACGTAATTTAAGTACTTTGAGTAATCTCCTGTTTGATTAAGGGTTATGTTTAACCTAGTTCTTTACATTTTTACTGGCATAAGTCAAAACGTTTATGTTGGGACAAATGTCTGGTTGCTTAGCAATATCTATAAAACTTTGAACTATCCTTGGACACCTATAGTTTCACTTAAGTTTGTTGAATATAGACACTCAACATTATTGCATGATTATATAAAGTATAAGTTAACTATTAGATGGACGCATGCACATATAGCAGGCGCATGTTACGTATATAAAACGTTCTTGTTATGTTCGCTGTAAAAGGATATTAAATTTACATATTTGTACGATGTTTTCGCTGGATATTTATCTATAAAATGAACAGGTTATGGGCCCAGACGTCGCCAAACTGTGAGGTAACTGTCTATTGCGTTTTATATAATAACGTAAAGAATTCAAGCAATTTCGTTGGTCGAGAGCCATGATCTATAAGAGGACAGACGCACGGAATGACGTCACAGCAATTTTCTTGTTTTTAAATTGCAAACAAATAATTCAATTAATTTTGGATTTTTTTCAGTTTTATTATATAAAACAAATGTAATAAAATGTTTATTTTATATTTTATATAATAAAATGTTTTATTATATAAAACAGAGTGACCACTCGCCCCGGCGGCTCGTGGCCACTTTTTTATTCTTATCACATATGACGTCATACCGTGTATCTATAACTGAACAGACAACGGTTCATTGTAATCTATTTGTTAAATTGACCTGTATATTTTACGAAAATGGCCCAGGAAGACAAATTATCGATCGATAAACTTGAAGATGCGAGAAATTGGCAAATATGGAAGTATCAGATGACCGCAATTATGGAAGCTAAGGAACTGTACGGTCATGTTGATGGATCGTCGATTCGCCCAAGTACATAAGAAAGCAGTTCCGGGGCAGAAGCGTCGTTTGAAAAGGCTCAAAAGAAGACAAAAGCTCTCATAGTCACGTCTATTAAATCCGATCTTATTTACCTTATAACCGAATGCCACACTCCAAAAGAAATATGGGACACGTTGAAAAATCGATTTGAAAGAGATACGATTGCGAACAAGCTGTATCTAAAGCAACAATTTTTCTCCTTAAAGATGAAAGAATCAGACCATCTTGATGAACACTTAATTGCGAAAAATGAAAGTGATCACTGATCAACTAGCTGCTATCAAAGCTACAATACCGGAGGATGAACACATAGTCGCTCTACTTTTAAGCCTGCCAGGTTCATATAACACTTTGGTTACGGCACTGACTGCAAAAGGAGATGAATTAAACCTGAGTCAACTGCATGCAGCATTGTTAAATGAAGCAGAAAAACGCAAGCAAAGCAAAAGCCATGCTAGTGGTAGTGGAAGTAGTGATGGCCAATCTGCGCTACAACACAACAAGTCTGATCGAAAGCCTGTCAAGTGTTATGGATGTGGCGAGGAAGGTCACCTTATTCGAAATTGCGCTCAGAACAGGAGGAAGAAACAGCATAGACGTAATGAAAATCAAGGGAAATTTGATAAATCAAAGCATAATGCTTCTCCTGCTGATGGGGACAGTGGTAAGGATGATGGAAGTGGTGCCAATGTTTTTGCTGTTGGATTCAATGTTGCAAAATGTAGTGTTCAGCGTTAATAAGGACGTCACAGATAGGTATGGATATTTAAGGGTAACGAGGGATCGAGAGAGAAAAGGGGAAAATAAGATGGCGGCAAACACATGCTCATGTATTGATACAGAAAGCGTTTTGTAGATAAGTTTATACAGTATTAAATTGGCGACGAGTGATTTATTTTGGACGAAGAAAGTATGGCTACTACATTACCAGAATTTCCACCCTTTGATGTAGGTTTGGAACCTTCGTCACTGGGATTACAATGGAAAAAGTGGACAGCTCGGTTGGAAAATTTGTTTATAGCTCTGGCTATCGAAGATAAGAAGCGACAGAAAGCGCTTCTATTACATTATGGTGGGTCACAATTGTGCGATATTTACTATACACTTGAGAGTGAAGAAGATGAAGAGTATCAACATTTAAAAGCTAAGTTAAATTCATACTTTGAGCCAAAGATCAACATTACTTTTGAGACATATAACCTTAGACAACTAGCCCAGGCAGAAGACGAGTCTATCGATAAATTTGTTACTAGACTTCGTGAGGCTGCTAGTCGAAGCCAGTTTAACGATACTGCACGGGAGATTAAAGATCAGATTGTACAGAAGTGCACCTCTGATCGGCTGAGAAGGAAGGCGCTAAGAGAAGACCCAAGTTTGGATAATCTACTGAAGGCGGCACGTGCGAGTTGGCTGACCATCAGGCAACAGCTATGGAAGGTGAACCAGGAGTTCTAAAGGTGGGTCGAAAAGATGCTGTTGTTAAATCTGATAACAAGGATCAGTTGAAGCCAAAGGATAATGACAAGGTATGTTTCAGCTGTGGTGGATCATGGCCACACCCAAAAGGAAGGCGTTCCTGCCCATCTTACGGGTTAGATTGTAGACGGTGTGGTACAAAGAAGCATTTTGCACGCATGTGCAAAAACAAGAAGAATGTAAGAATCATTGCTGGGTCGGACGACAGTGAGACTGATGATGACAGTTATCGGGTTTCATCAGTGAAAAGTGGCAAGAAATGTCGCAGACATGTGACAGTGAAAGTTGACAGTCATCCGGTGCGCTTTCAAGTTGACTCGGGTGCTGATGTCAACATTATGGATGAAAAAACATTTTCACATATTAAAGAGAGAGTAAAATTGTCAAGGTGTACCACTCGACTTTATGCATATGGCTCCAGAAACCCTTTGCCACTGTTGGGCAAATTTACGGCAACGTTATCTAACAGTGAGAGGTATGACGTTGCCGACATTTATGTTGTACATGGCACCCAAAATGCGGGGTCACTTCTGGGGTCAGGATCAGCAACAGCATTGGGAATTCTGAAAATTGTTAATCAGGTAAATGTCAATGGTAATCAGAATGGGGGCAGAGCTTCAGCAACTGAAAAGGGTGCTCGAGTATCCACACCACAAGGGCAAACTGGCTCGGTTAACTCTGTCGATCAATTGGTGGCAGAATATGATGATTTGTTTCAAGGAATAGGCAAATTGAAGGGGGTACAAGTTAAGCTGCATATTGATGAACAAGTCCAACTGGTCGCACAGAAGCACCGTAGAGTTCCTTTTCACCTGCGAGAAAAATTAGATGCTGAACTAGAGCGTTTGGAGAAAGCTGAAATTATCGAGAAAGTCGAGACAGCCACAAATTGGGTCTCGCCAATTGTCATTACGCCGAAAAATGGCACTGATGAAATACGCATGTGTGTTGATAAGGGAGCGCCCAATCGAGCAATTAAACGGGTAAGGCACGTAATTCCGACAATTGAAGATCTACGGCATGATGTCAATGGTGCGAAGGTCTTTTCGAAACTGGACTTGGCAAATGGTTTTCATCAGCTGGAGCTCCACGAGGACAGCCGAGGGGTTACCACGTTCTCAACACATGTAGGCCTCCGTAGGTTTCGCCGTCTCAACTTCGGTACCAACTCTGCGCCAGAGATTTTTCACGAAGAGCTTCGTAAATTGCTCACGGGAATTAAAGGTGTTCGTAATATTCACGACGACATCCTGGTAACAGGGGTTGATATTCAAGACCACTACAGAGCGTTGTCAGAGACATTCCAGCGACTTCGAGAGGCAGGCCTAACACTTAAGCGATCTAAGTGTGAGTTCGAGAGGTCCGAGTTGACATTTTTTGGACTGGTTTTCACCAAGGATGGAATTCGCCCAGATCCAGAAAAAGTGAAAGCCATACAACATCTCAGCCCCCCGAAGAATGTAGCTCAACTTCGGTCATTCTTGGGAATGACAAACTATTCCGCACAGTTTATTCCGGACTATGCGACTCTCGTTGACCCTCTTCGTTCTTTGACAAAGAAAGATGTTCATTGGGTGTGGACAGAAGGAGACCAAGAGTGTTTCGACAAGCTCAAAGAAAGCTTAAAAGAAAATGCTTTGCTGAATTACTACGATCCTAGCCTCCCTACGGAAGTAGTGTGTGACGCATCTCCAGTTGGCGTGAGTGCTATATTAGCTCAGTATAAGTCGGGGGAGACAGTGCCGAGGGTAATTGCATATAACAGTAGAACGCTTACACCCGTGGAAAGAATGTATGGCCAGATAGAGAGAGAATCTCTATCAATCCAGTTTGGGTGTCTAAAAAACCAGCTGTACTTGTTGGGTCACGAGTTTACGGTCGTAACAGACCACCAGCCATTGGTCTGTCTGTATAATAATCCCCGACGCCCAGGACCATTCCGTGTGGAGAGAATGAGGTTAAAGCTGCAAGGTTTTAGCTTCAAAGTTGTATATCGCCCGGGCAAGTTTAATCCATCTGATTATACTTCGCGACAGCCTCTGTCTATGGTACATTCCACCAAGGCAGATCTGGCTGCGTCAAAAGAGTTGGAATCTCACGTACACTGGGTGGTTGAAGGAGATGTGCCATTGCCTTTAAGCCTTAACGATATACAGAGAGAGACGATGAAAGATCGGGCCCTAAGCAAAGTCTATGAACATTTACAACAGGGAACTGTTTTTAGAAAAGAAGATAAAGATCTACAACCTTATCAGAGCGTAGCTGGCGAGCTATCTATCGCGCATGGGGTTATTATTCGAGGCCGGAGAATAGTCCTGCCCACGTCGTTGCACAAGAAAGTAATTAATACCGCACATGAAGGACACCAAGGTCTAATTAAGACCAAACAGCTCTTACGATCCCGAGTGTGGTTTCCAAGGTTGGAAAAGAAGGTGGAATCCTGCATAAATACTTGTATTCGGTGTCAAGCAACCGTACATACGGCATCGCAAGAACCGGTTAAATCCACAACACTACCAAACGGTCCATGGGAGTGTTTGTCTATGGATTTCTATGGCCCGATGCCATCGGGAGAATACGTGTTAGTGGTTATTGATGAGTATTCTCGTTTTCCTGAAATCGATATTACTACGTCCACGTCTGCCAAAGCCACGTTGCCGAAGCTCGATCGCATCTTATCCTCATTTGGAATTCCCATCAGTATTAAAACAAATAACGGGCCACCTTTCACGTCTAAGGCGTTTAACGACTATTGTCGTCTTATGGGAATTAAGCACCAGTCCATTACTCCCAGACATCCACGGGCCAATGGTTTAGTGGAAAATTTTAATCGTATGGTCAAAAAAGTTACACGTACGGCAGTCATCGAACGTAAGTCGTGGAAACAGGAACTATACACATTTCTAAGGAGTTATCGAGCGACTCCACACTCCACAACGGGCGAAAGTCCAGCTAATCTTCTGTTTTAGCAACGACGGTACAGAGTGCGCCTGGCTGAGCTTCCACCGCCAGCAGTCGATGACAAGCCGGTTAGGGATCGTGATGCGAATAAAAAAAGAAAGACAAGAAGAACAGGCGTCAGTTGCAGAAGGATCAACTAATAAATTTAAGCTGTGGCATCAAAGGATGGCTCACTTGAATGCAGGACAGATGAAGTTGATGGTTTTAAAACAGATTGTGACAGGCACTGACATGCTGGGATCTGGGAAACTGGACTTTTGCGAAGCCTGTGCCGAAGGTAAATCTCATCGAGCACCCTTCAAACCAGTGGGAGAAGTACAATCAAAGAAACGATTGGAGCTTGTCCATAGTGATGTTGTTGGACCTATGAAGATTGAAAGTTTTGGTGGTGCTGGGTATTTCGTGACGTTCATTAATGACTATTCGAGGTGTGTAACCGTTTATCCCATTGCACACAAATCAGAAGTCCTAGATAAGTTCAAAGAATGGGAAGCAGTTGTTACAAATCAAGCGGACTGCAAAATTAAAACTTTGCGGACAGATAACGGAGGTGAATATATGTCGACTGAATTCAAAAATTTCCTCAAAGAAAAGGGCATCCATCACGAGACAACTGTACCCTACTCACCACAGCAAAACGGCATCGCCGAGCGTATGAACCAACTGACATCAGGTGCTCAACAAGAGAGAGAAAACCGCCTGTTTATTATCACGATGAATATGCTAGTATTGCAAGAGCGAAGCATACAGCCCTCTATGTAACAGAAGTTGAAGAACCGACAACATTGAAAAAAGCACTCGAAAGTGACTACGGTGTACACTGGAAGACAGCTACTGATTCTGAATACAAATCCCTAATGGAAAATGAGACCTGGGAACTTGTAGAATTGCCACCAGGAAGAAAAACAATTACCTTTAGATGGGTATTTAAAGTCAAACATGATGAAAATGGGAAGATTGAACGGTTCAAAGGACGTAGCGAAAGGTTTTCTTCAGAAGTCCGGGATTGAATTTGATGAAACATTTTCACCTGTGGTTCGGTTTACATCTATCCGAACTATTTTGGCCTTTGCTGTCTCTAGAAATATGTTTGTCCATCAAATGGATGTTGTCACGGCTTTTCTGAACGGGACACTTGAAGAAGATATTTATATGGAGCAGCCTGAAGGTTATGTTGTACAAGGAAAAGAACACCTGGTATGCCATCTTAAGAAATCTCTTTATGGACTTAAACAGAGTCCACGATGCTGGAATAAGTCATTCAATGAATTTATGCTATCCCAGGAATTTGAGCAAAGCACAGCCGATCCATGTGTGTTTATTCGCAAAGTCGATTGTGAACTGACCGTAGTTGCTGTGCACGTTGATGACTTAATACTTCTAACCGAAAGCGATCAAGAAATGATCGACTTAAAGGCGGGTCTCGCTGCCCGTTTCAAGATGAAAGATATGGGCAAACTACATTACTGTCTTGGAGTAAACATCAAATCACTGGACCGTGTTCTGCAAATAAGCCAAGGACAGTATATCCACAAGATATTAAACAAGTACAACTTACAAGATTGTAAACCTGTATCAACTCCGATGGACGTGAACGTGAAGTTGGTCAAAGATGATGGTATCAGCAAATCTGTAGATCCGGTTATTTATCAATCGATGGTGGGAAGCTTAATTTCGCGGCTATTGCAACACGACCAGACATCGCTCACGCAGTTGGTACTCTGGCAAAGTTTAACTCGTCTCCAAACGAAGCGCACCTTACCGCTGTTAAGCGAGTATTTCGATACCTGCAAGGAACAATTAGATTTCAGCTGCAACACGAAACGAGTGACAAAAACATGGAAGGGTATTCCGATGCCGACTGGGCCGCAGACTCAGAAGATTGAAGATCAACTTCAGGAAATGTGTTTCTAATGTCCAACGGTGCCATTAGTTGGGCAAACCAGAAACAACCCACCGTTGCACTTTCAACTGCTGAGGCCAAATATATCGCCTTATGCCTGGCAACACAAGAAAGTGTATGGTTACGACAACTGAGCAAAGATCTGCAACTAGATTGTTCAAGTCCAACAATCCTTCACGAAGATAATCAAGGGACAATCGCAATGTCAAGAAACCCTGTTCTGCACAAGCGCACCAAACATATTGACATTAAATTCCACTTTGTACGAGAGAAAGTACAAGATAAAACAATCGAACTTAAGTATTGTCCTACTCAAGAAATGGTTGCTGATATCTTCACGAAGCCTTTAACACGAGAACAGTTTGAATGTCTTCGAGCAAGACTCGGACTTGTACAAGTGTAGTAATTAGTAAATGCTGAGTGAGTGGGAGTGTTGAATATAGACACTCAACATTATTGCATGATTATATAAAGTATATGTTAACTATTAGATGGACGCACATATAGCAGGCGCATGTTACGTATATAAAACGTTCTTGTTATGTTCGCTGTAAAAGGATATTAAATTTTACATATTTGTACCACTTTTTCGCTGGATATTTATCTATAAAATCAACACCGCATTGAACATCTAAACACGATATCTTTTTATTTTTCTAAAAACCTGACACCACAAATAACAGAAAAGTCCTAAACTTCCCGCAAATGCGCAAAACAAATTTCCGCTACATAAAGAAGCAGGAGCAAAGGGATTACTGTTTCCGATTTCCATATTTGACCGAATCACCGACACTTTGGGGAATTTTGTCTTTAAGTTTGGCTATTTTTGCCACAATTTTCGCCCGACACAGGATATTTTTTATGCCTGTATGTTTTTGAAAATTTTTGAAATTTTTTGAAAATGAAATAACAAATTTTAAATGTGGAAGACTGCATTTCGAAAATGAAACTAAATACTTCTATTTTTTGCTCATTCAATTGTATTATTTTGTACGTTGTGGAAACACGCTAGTCGTCAGGATGTCCCTTTTTGGTGGCTTTACACCAAGAGCTCAGGCTGTGGAAAATGTTAGCACTTCTGCAGCATTTGAAGACGTGAACTTCCCGAGCTTTTCATTTCGAGCGCTTTTGAACAAATATGAGATTGGACGAGGAGGGTTTTCCTCCGTTTTTACAGCGGAATTACCACAAAGTAGAGAAAAGGTGGCTGTGAAAAAGTTTTAAGGAAGTGATCAAATAGACGCCAAAATCTTACTGAAAGAGGCAAAACTTTTAAACAGTTTACGACATCCAAACATCGTAGGATTTAAAGGTATCTATAAGGATAATTACGCATTACTTCTAGAGTTTGTCCAGTTCGATTTCAAGCCTTTTGGGATAGACCTGCAGGGGAGTTCTCTTGCGGAACTACTGTGTCATTTTGACAAATCCGACTGTAAACACGTTTCGGAAAAAGTGTTTAATCGGGCTGTGGAAGATGTGGCACTTGGAGTCCAATACCTTTACGTCAAAGGACTTGCCCACCGAGATTTAAAGCCGGCAAATGTTCTTGTCTCGAACCAACATTACAGTGGCATGACAGACCAAAATGATATCGAAAGAGAAAGTTTAACATCACCTCTAGTGTGCAAGTTAACCGACTTTGGTGAGAGTCGATCACGAGAAGTTCAAACCAATACCATCATAACCAGCAAAACAAGTAGGATCAGTAGAGGCACACCAGTTTTTATGGCACCGGAAATCTTAGTCAAAAACTCGTCTGTCAGAAAAGCCTCACTACCGTTTTTGCAAAAAGCCGACTTGTGGTCGTTTGGAATGGTCGTGTTTTGTATCATTAACCCAGGTTTGAAACATCATTACGAGTTAAACATCCAAATGGAAGGGAATATCAAGAGCGCTGTTGTGTGTTTAGAAAAGATGATGGAGTGTCGTTCAAAACCGATACCACAAGAGAAGTATAGCAGGAAGCAAAGCGAAGAATGGAAAGAATTGCTCGAAATTTATAAGTCGTGTACTGTTTTTGAGCAAACGGATAGGCCCAATATCGAGGACATTGTTCAAAGGTTACATTTACGAAAGTCACCATTAAATGCTAAAAGAAGTTCTGAAGATGCCTCAGGCTCAGACGGTGAAATACATCTTAAGGTTAGCCAAGCCTCATTTTTTGAACAATGTAACAAGCTTGCAGCAAACCAAATACAAGCAGGTTTTGTGCTTGACCAAGAAGAAATCAATCAGCTAAACTCGTATGTAACATCAGGCGATGCCACTAATAGTTGCACGTTTCTTTGCTTAAAAATTGCTGATAGCATTTACGAGCAAATGTTACCGCTGCGACAAATTTATGGAAAGATGTTGCTGAGATATCTGAAAGTGTTATCTTAACTCTTCCTGAAGATATAAATAATATCCGCCAGATCTCATTGACCTATGATGTTATGGAAGCATACACATTATTGAAAAACGCTAAATTGCTTTCATCCGACTATACATTTACCGAAGAGTTACCATACGCGTTCGGTGTATTTTCAGATGAAGGCAAGGCAAAGCTGGCCAAAAAGATTGAAGAACTCATGAAAAATCCAGGAGAAACACTCGTCGCGCTATATACATGTGAACCATACACTCTACTTCTTGGTTTTATTTTGGATAGCCTATTTATTTTGGATACACACGCTGTTCCAGAAGATTGTGGTGGAATGGAAACAGGCATGGTGAAAATATTCCATGGGCCACCAGAAGTGGCGTCAACATCCGCCTGCTCGTGGCTGTGGAAAAGGCTAGAAAGCGCTGGCGTACAGAATGGCCCACAATCCCTCTCTGTTATGAAGACAGAAAAATCAAGGTATTTTTCTCTCATTTATCTTATCAATTCACTATGATGACTTTGAAATTTCTCATTCAACTCATTAAATTATTTAATTGGACGAATCAGAGGAAAAGAATACTAATAACTTCTTATTAACCAAGAGCGAGGTCTTTACTGCGAAATATCCGACTGAGGTCTTTTTGAACAGACCGAGCTCAAAGAGCGAGGTTTGTACAAAAAGATCGAGATCCGATATTTCTCGGTAAAGACCGAGCAAGCGAGGTTAATAAAAAGTT